TACCTTTTTATATTTTAATTTTTTTACGTAGTAGAGCTGTGGTAGCACGGATGGGTCGGTTAGGTTAGGGGAGGACCACGCTCTTAGAGAACAGCAGGGTAAAATAGCAGCTCTCTGCTGCTGTGTTTCGTATGGTGAGTGTAGAGAACGTCCTCAGGGGTGACATTCACATCTGCATTTTGATTCTTAATCGATTATATATGTAGATCTCTATGGGCCACAGCATCTACTTATGATCGGGTGGGTTGTGTGATGGCCATGAAAGATCACTTCTTATCACTATGACATACATGATGTGATTAATGTTATAAGTCGAATGCAATACTTTTGTAATGTTTTCATTTTGGCATGCAGCTAGTCCGTGTTATAAACGTATTTGCAACAAATATAATAAAATAAATAATTAATTATCGTGTATGTCTGATGTTTTTAATGCACAGGGCGATTTTGGACATTGTCCTTTGTAAAACGATGTCTCTTATCTAAATTTCACAACACAAAAAACATCCTCATTAGCACAGAAATTGTTTTTAAAATAACAGCTCCTAAAGAATTTCTAGAAGTTGGGCATAAATCTATTTTGATTTGATTAGAGCGGGAAAATCGGAAATAAATTCTGGTAACACATCTGTGTAGATGATGCCCTTATTTGTTACTGATGATGGCTTACAAAGCGTTTACTATTTGTTATTTTTTATTTTTATAAATATTTACAGACTTTGGTCGCCCTTACTTATTACACATATAAAAATGTAAAGATCTAAATAAGTTAACAGCAGTTAACGGTAACAGGTGAAGTCGGTTTGAGGGGTTCCGTGGGGTTATTAAATTCATTACAAAGATCGGTAAGTCACCGTCACGGTGAATGCGTTCGCGCGTCATCTGTTGACGCCGTGGGAAAACTTAACGCCCGCGCGGTCTTTGCGATGCAGAAATTATAAAAGTTGCTTGTAATATTATTGAATCATTATCTAATATTTTACATTGTAGGCATAGTCTGTATATACAAACCAAATCGCCCGAGAAGTATGGTAACTACTGAAGTTATCCTAATTTAAGATGATATAGCGAAGTAACAGTTTTTAATGGAATTAATGATAATAAAACAAGAAATACGAGTATATTTTTATTGAAACTATGCTTCCAATAATAAGTCATCCGCATGATATCCTCTGTTTTAAATCCGCAATAAACTATTTCCCGTCTAAGGATAGATTTAACTTTTGTTACAAGGTTGTATACAAACTTGGCTACCATACATGTGCGATCTCAAATCGTCCGTACGAAAAAATATATAATTTATATCTGTGTATAATACAATGTTACGAAAATTTTGTAACGTATTCCTTATGCTTACGTTAATACTAAACACTGAAAAAACTTACTTTTCGGATTTTATCGTGTTTAATTTTAAGTTATTTTTAATTTTCGTCATTTCTAATATCACAACAACCATAGTTATTATTTTCATATAAAAATTCGAAACAACATTTATTAACAACAAACATTAAATTGATAAAATATAGTTTAGCGTGTATACCTCGCATTGATTGATAAAAACTTTTTATTCCCCTGAACTTACAAACTTATCAACGCTTAATTGTTCACGTGCGTGATGTACGGTAGACTTTCAAAACTATAGAATCATCCCCGTTTGAAAATGTTTTCTGTGTAACACAAAAATCATTTAAAAGTATATAGAATCTGTGGAATTTTCTGTAATATTTATTTCACTGTTCAAAAGGAATAATTTTACTATCATATAATTGTTCAGAAAATGAGTGTTTTGGTAATAGCCCGGGTAATCAGTAATTACAGAAAAATTAATATTTTTATTTAAGTATTTATAGACTAATAGGACTGTATGTAGGGGTAAAAGAAATTTAGTACCTCAATATGTTGTGGATGTCGCAAAAATCAATTAATAATTTACCGAAAAATGTACATGTATAATAAGTAAATGGTAAAATAAATGTTTTTTGAATTACATACTACTACTTAGCCGAGTGACCGAGTGTCCGAGTGAAACATCCATTTCTTTTTTCTTACGAATAGTTTCGTTTTTTTAACCTATCAATTTGTTTTGCCTAACACTACCCCAGGTATCAATCGCTCGTTTAACTTGTTTCAGTAAGCCAAAGAAACGTCGAAAAAAAAAGAAAGTACCGTAACATACTTAATTTCGACTCCTTGTGGCGGAAGCATGAAAGTTTTTGATCTTTAGGCCGTGTGTATGTACAACTATTATATGAAATTTTCCCATTAGATACGTAGCGTCACGGAAATCACGTGGCTGTGTCATTTATCGTTTACGATGGACGAGACCTGACATTTTACCTGCTCATCGGTAAAGGATTACTGTAAGGAAATCTGCATGTCTGCGAAACTTTTATTATGCTTAGCGGATACTTGTTATTTAAATTATTAAGACATAGTAGAAAAATTAAATCTAATGAAAAGTTTACAACCAATATTAAAAAACTATAATAAAGAAAACCACTGTTTCCTCACTGAATGACATTTGAATTTATTTTTTATAATAATATTTTGGTGTTAACATTCAAAAAAATATCACAGTGGTTAAATTCGTCGGAAAATCTGTTAAAAGACTCTGCTTAAAGCGCATTTCGATGCCAAAAATTCAGGGTACGTCACGCAGCGAAGCTTTTAATTTTCAATGCAAATGTCAGGTCAAGTGAACATATTAACCCTCGTGAATGGCAGGTGGGGTGGGGGTGTGACCTGCCCTCTGATAATTTGTAACAAACACTTCAGTTCTGTACTGACAACCTACAGCGATCGGTTAACCTATGGACTGTTCCTCATTTGTCATCCGCGTGGATCACTGATCATCTTAAAAATATTTTTCGTTCGTTTTTTTCTCTCGGTTTTTCAGGTGAGTTGAGTTTGAAGTAATTTTATGTAATTTCTTAAATGATTTTTAATTTTTCTATTTTCTAAATAATTCTTTCGTTTTATGGTGCTAATTATTGATATAAGTGAGTATAATCTATAAACTTAACATATTTAATTTAAAAACTCAGTTCCATTCTCAATCATTTTTGGCCATTTTTCGAATGGAGCTTACAGTTATAAAAGCTAATGAGACTTATTTTTTTTCTTATTCATAAAAACAGGACCGATCGGAACGCTAATATTTTTTGATGATATCACTCACTGTTATCTCAGCATTGCTGTATCACGGATGCGAGCCTCGTTAGACAATGCTCGAGGCGTGGCTCCACTTGTCGTGACTCGAATTAATTCTGCATGTGTCAATGTAAAACATTTCATACTTCCGACGCTTCGCTCGTGATCGTCTGATCATAAACAGTTGTAGACGGCGAGATATAAACTTGTTTTGTTTCTTAAACTTCGTCTAATTACGTATGTTACGAGGCTTTCGCAGTATGTAAATTCAAAAAAGCATCTCCATGTTGCAAAACCGCTGTTTTATCTTTTATTTATTTACACAGTTTCATCTTTAGTGAGTTTGAATTCAGTAAAGGTTGGTTTATTATGTTATGAATTATGATGGACAAACGATTATAATTTCATAACAAAAAAGCTTTTCAACGGCAATGAGATTATATTAATATAAAAAAGTAATAAATAATTTTAATTAATAAAATTACTTAAATTTAGCTAATTTCTTCCAACATTAACAGTAATCAGTATTTTATTAAGCTATGTATATTTTCTTTATTTCAAATTAAATTATAGAATAAGAAACATTGTGAAAAAACAAATAATTGTACAATAATTGTCTCTCCATTCAGGTTTTACCGTTTCACAAAATTGAGCCCAATTTTTATAAGAGCTTTACTAGAGATACATTTTATTGCCTATTTTCCAAGATATTATATATATATATATATATATATATATATATATATATATATATATATGTATATATAATATTGTTAAGATAAATATAATAATATTATATTTATCTTAACAACTATAAATGACCTACTACATATTTTGAATATAAAAAATAACAGAAATTACAGAAGAAAATAACAAATTTCTGAAGCCCCAGTAGGACGTTGGCTAAGCATCGTTTATCCGTGGCACAACGGGCTGTGGGTTCGAGTCTCGCATGAAACAAGTACTTTTATGACCTAAAATATTTTTTTGGATCTAGATGTTCTTGATGCGCAATTTATGTATATCAAAAGCTACCACGATGCAAAAGAACTTTTCGGTGCGGAGGTCATAAGGAATATTTTTATAGCATTGGATGACAAACGAGCACACAGTCCACCTGTCCGTATATGGAGGTTGTGGCTTATAGAGATCCACATTTATCCTCAATTAAGAATCAAAATGCAAATGCGTTGTCACCCGCGAGGACTAAGATGAATGCCTCGATTTCAATAAAAAGGGTGTCAGGTTCTCTACACTCACCATACGAAGCATAACGCTTCTCTTACAGAAGTGAGAGCTTGGCCCTGCCCCGGTCAAGGTGACCCATTTGTGCTACAACTATAATATAGCATACGAAATTACTGCGTTTCTGGATTAAAATAATAAAAATTACCTTGTTATCATTAAAATGATTTGATTGGTACCTATATGGTAGTATTGGCATTATAATGTCCTCCAGACCGAATTTCGGCCACGGCGGCCTGCCTCAACGGAGGCTAGTCATCGGCGCAGGACAGGATTATAGTGTCCAAGTGTGTGCGCAAGCACAGGTGCACTCTCTATTCCCTCACTCTCATAATCCGATGGGACGGTAAACCGACACGACCGAAGAGAGACGCAGGACAAACGGCTTTACGTGCTTTCCGAGGGCACGGGGGTGAGACACCGCCAACTTCCTGACTCCGGGCAGCTACTGAGAATTTCTTGACGGAAAAACTCAATAGTAAATTTTTTGGCCCGACCCTGGATTCGAACCCATGACCTCATTGAGCAGCAGTCGTACTACTACAACCACTGTACCAACGAGGCAATCATTGGCATTATACAATAATTATGGCGTATCGTTTCAGGTCGAGAAAGTTCGAACATAAATTCCTCGAGCGGGTCCCAGTCTGTAGGCGAAGAAGAAGAACGCGAGGACACGGAACCGAGGTGCTCCTTCTGCGATTCACCATTCCCTAACATTGATGTGTAAGTCCGTTTTAAATAATTATATGTACTGTTATAAACTGAATGCCGATTTTGAATTTACAATGACAAATTGTTCAATATTTACATGATAAGGTCATGTTGCAGCTATATTAGTGGTATATTTAAAGCACGAATGGGCCAGCTCGACCGGGGAAGGACCATACTCTCACAGAATACCAGCGTAAAATAGCATCATTAGAGAACCGGGGACACTTTTTACTGGAAACGAGGCATTCCATTTTAGTGCTCACCGGTGACAACGCATCTGTATTTTGATTCTTAATCGAGGATAGATGTAGATGTCTATGGGCCACAGCAACCACTTACCATCAGGTGCACAGTGTGCTCGTTTGTCACCCTTATACGGTACTATTAAGTAATCTGTGGTAAAAGTCCTTTTTTAAAGATATAAATTTAAAATAAGAAATAACTTAAGCGCGAAATAACTGAATTCAAAACATAGCAAGTATTTTTGTTATAATATATTTATTCTAGTCTATATATAATTTGAAGTCTTTTATGCAATTAGACAATAGATATCCTTAGTAACGTATTACCAATCATTAACATTTTGGAATGATAACGTTCTCGACTTGAATTCAAACCACACATTTAGCAATCCCATTCTTTATCTGAGCTATCCATTCAGTTGGTCGGCGTAAGATGCAGAAGTCGATCAATTTAAAACGTCTTCAGAACCATTAACCTCTTGCCAACTTGCCATTAATACGATTTGGACGTTTGAGAAGCGGTCCGGTAACGATTTATTTAGTACTAGAGATGTACCCATTCGATAAAACGCATGTCGATGATTTGTTACGTTGACTTGGAGGCACGCGACGTCACATCTGCTGAATACCTGAGATATCAAAGCTACGAGTGATATTTTACAACTGATAGATTAAAAGTTACTGTTAATATGAAATTAACTATGGCTGTGTGTACGCTATTTTTAAATCAACTGTTATATAAATGAATATTCTGTTAATTTAAAGTAAGCTATTAAATAAATAATAAACATGTTTTAAAAAGGTTTATGACAATAATATGTCATGAATCTATTATAAATGTTCTATCTGGACGATCATAATGGCGTGTATCATCATATTGTATTGGAGCAACGTCGAGTTCGTCAATAATGCAAGCGATCTAGATTATAGGCATGTACCGTTTTAATGTATCCTCGCTGTTATCGATTTATCACTAATATTAGGAATAATACTACGATATTTATTCAGTTTTGCGTTAGAAACACACATAAAAAGTAGACAAGATTAAATTTAGGTAAACATTTAAATACTATCAAATTTATCATACTTTTGACTTTTACGAGTGTAATAATATTTGATAGATTTTAAAGAAGTACCATGTGGTGAATGTATAATAAAATACGAGACTGCTGCTTAATTTCATTTATATTTATTATAATATGTATAACAAGGATTAAAAGTAAAAATTAACATTTTCATACAATAATTTTTTCTACCCGCAGTGTAGTGTCAAGAAACTCGGTTGCGTTTATTCGCTGAATGGCTCTTGTAACTAGCAACGATAAATAGTCGCAAATTCAGTTCCTTTAGGAACTTCACTTGCACATTTAACCCACGGACCGACAGTCTCTACAGCAAATTTATTAATTTTACATGCCTGGGAATCCGCCCGCATAACCACGTTGTGGAATTTACCGTTGCCAGCAGCTTTTACGGACCGATATCACCCGTCTAAAAACTCGACAGTGCACCTACAATTTCTCTGGAGTGGCATATGTTCATGGACGGTGGTGATTTCTTACCATCACATGAACCTACCGTTTCGTCCCATGGGTGTAGTATAGATAACAGCAGAAATTCTAAGGGCTTTCGATAGATGACCGTGGAACAATCTTATTTACGTCAGGCTTAGATTCGCTAGATTGGCGATAGGAAGGAGCGAGAAGTCTGGTCTCGCAAACAATATTTTGCCAGCCGAGCGTGGTAGTTAAAGCAAGTCAACGAGAAAGACCCAAAGCCAGCTATATAATGTTACGAACTGATAATAAAGAAGATCAAAGATCTATTATTTAATAATTATCATTGATCAAAGGTCTACTGTTTTTATTATTGCCTAATTTTATATAGCACGTTAAAATATTAGTTTTTATGTATAGTATTTTATTTTGAAAATTTTGTATATTTTTTAAATGTTTTGAACTGCACAAAATAGTGAATATGTTAATTCAACTAATTTATTAATTTCATTTATACCAAGCCTATCAAATCCGCTGAGCATATGTTGTCCCATATGGATTATTTTTCCAAAGTTGCCACGCTCGGCTGGTGGATTGGTGACCACAATTATTATTGAAAATGTTGTTATCAGGAAGATGCTGCTGCCATTTTTCAGTTTCCCTTTATCGCTTTTCACGACACTCATGGGGTGAATTGGGGTAGTATATATTGATAATTGATAGAATCAGGCGTTACTTTGCGGAAATCCATAATAATAAATATATTAATTGGTTGCGAAGTAATTGATATTTTATTAGTATATATTCTTACACCGCCACTACATGGTTCACATTCAACGGCTCAATTGACGACTCCGTGGTGTAGTGGCTTAGCGATGAGTGACTGCGTTGGGGGCCGTGGGTTCGAATCCCGCACGGAACAAGTATTTGTATGGCCTACAAATAATTGTTCCGGGTCTGTATGTTTGTCCTTGTGCAACTTATGTTTGTAAACTGCCTCCAAGATTCAGGAGAAAATCCTAGTGTTAACGTTATTAAAAAAATTATGTTTGTCATTATCTTTTAGTTTCGTCTTTATTTCTTAACTTATTGTACAGCATCCGTATCGAAACAACACTATTGTTATTAAATTGAAATTGCCTTATCGGATCTCTTAATTCTTCTATAACTACAGCTGTGACCATTGGAATGGCCATCGGAACTGTCAACCCGTTAATAGATATCAGATAGTCAAACCGTTGCAAAGTCAAAGCAAAATTACTAGAATTCTTGATCTGATTACAACAATTATTATAATAAATAAACTAATTCCGTTAAGAAGTGATCTAGTTAAGGCACTATTAGATTTATAGTAAAGTTTTTGCGATGTAGAACAACCCGCCTTGGCATTTAACATTTAACACTTGTATAAAGAACTGTTATCTATGTATAGATCTAAAATATTGCTGTTTGTGTATCTAAACTGTCAGATGGAGGCTCTAAATTTATATATGGCTTGAATAACGCATTTAAAAATTTTGCATATTTTAAGCCTCAAACCAAACGCTATGCAATGGGCAGTCCAACTCTTCTATAAAATATGAACGCAATAGTCACCGATAAGCATGAAAAAACAAACTTAACGTCTCACAACAAGCAGTTCATAATTAGTCTTAGGCTTTATCTAGAATCCGTTGGGAAGTATTTAGGATCAGTTTCAATAAATGCTATCATTAAAAGACCGATGTTCTTGAATTGGCGCCACCATTTTTATGAATATCTGTGTTGGTGAGATTAAGTGTTCACAGTTATTGACCGAGGTAAGGTTTTGAATACAACCCAAAAACACACGATCGAAAAATTTGTTACATACCAAAAATATGGACCAATATTGGTAAAGGAACACTAATACCCAGAATGTGTGTCCTCCACAATAAAATGCTAAACGACCTCGGTGTTCTATATCTCTCGTTCGGCCTTCAAAATTCAATGCAAAATATTTTAAATAATTACGAATTAGATATTGAAAGATATTTTGTATTGTACATTTCAGTTTTCAGATGAATGTTTTCTTTATAAATAAGTACAGACTTGTTAACCTGCTTGTTGTGTAGATGACACCCTTTACGATCTGCTTCATAGTATACATATGTGTATGTTGTCAGTGAGACGTTTAGTATGGATCAATTGTAAATTACCTTTGTTTAATTTACTTTGTATGATTTTTTAAAATATCTTTTGTTTCTGTTTTGTTTCCAATAAGTCCCGTGGAGTTAAATTCAACTAAAATGTAAAGTTAACCCTGTAGTAGCAGTTTATGAATATTCACTACCCCATATCGTCACATGGGTGTCAACAGGAGATGGGCAGCAGATTTTCTTGATAACGAATCAAAATAATATAAAAAACTGCATTTGCCAACCCGTCTGATGAGCGTGGCATCTATGCCAATTCCCCTTTAAGGCAAACTATGGGGTAGGCCTATGTAGGTACAGTAATAGACTTTTGATCGCTGTCATAAATTATGATCTCTTTTGTGACAAAAAAAAAACTATCAGTAAACCAAGTTTTGTATAAGATTTCAGCATAAAAGTTAAAATTTCGACATAAACTTAAAAAAATTATTTTTGTTAGACACATTTTTATTCTGCTTCATCTAAAAGTGAAGTGGTCGCTGTTGCCATTAAACAAACTCGAATAAAGACAAAAAGGCAAATGCGTCGTCCTAATGTATCTTTTGAGGATATGGTGGAATTGCTCGTTGTCAATAATAAGAGTTGCCAAACTATGGGGTAGGCCTATGTAGGTACAGTAATAGACTTTTGATGGCTGTCATAAATTATGATCTCTTTTGTGACAAAATCAAAACTATCAGTAAACCAAGTTTTGTATAAGATTTCAGCATAAAAGTTAAAATTTCGACATAAACTTAAAAAACAATTATTTTTGTTAGACACATTTTTATTCTGCTTCATCTAAAAGTGAAGTGGTCGCTGTTGCCATTAAACAAACTCGAATAAAGACAAAAAGGCAAATGCGTCGTCCTAATGTATCTTTTGAGGATATGGTGGAATTGCTCGTTGTCAATAATAAGAGTTGTCAGGTCTTGTCAATAACCTTATGAAACATATTGATGTTACGTGGCTATTTCACGCTGTTATTCTGTTAAGGACAATTCTCACAAAGTGGTCTCTTACCACGGTCGAGTAGAGCCATCCGTGCTGCAGCCTACTCGGAAGCGTATCTCTACCTCGTACGCACTTAAAATATATACGCATATTATAATAACAACGAA